AGATAAGTATTAAGTGTCCTTGGTTTGCTTACTAAATACTTGTTAATTTATTCCATGACTATTAATAGAGCCTCTACCATGGAATTGACACTATTACAGGAAAAAAAAAAAAAGACAAAAGGTGCATCCTGAAGCCAGCAGCTGGTCTAATAATGTCAACTAGGTCCCTGCCTTTCTGTTGAAAAGAAATAGTTTCACAGAATATTAAATCAAACAAGCCCTCTCCTGGCTTGGAGAGACAGGGCCCAAGCAAGACAATCTGTGGTCATGTGTGAACATGAGCTAGGGCCAAGTGTCCCAATGTCCTGAGGAGCACAGGTGACTACTGTTTCTTCAAGGTGTTAGCTTAAGTCCCTGTCCTTCTCTGGAAGATTTACTAAAATTCCCAAATCAAAGAATAGTGCCAACTTCTGGACAACAGCCAGTCCAAGGTGAGGTCCTTTCCCCTTAAGCCCTCCCCAGTCACCTGCCACAGGCGCCAACCCCCTCATGCCTGTCCTCACACACTCCTGCGAGACACAGGGGGTTCCTAGGGATTTGTTATCCGTTTTGCCACTTTTCAGCTGTGCTTCTGGTGGTCTGTGGCTTGAGGAGATGGGTGGAGGAGCGAGTACTGTGTCAAATACAGTGTACTGACCACCAGATCACTAGCCTTGGGCTCAGCTAGATAGTATTAAAAAACCCAAAACAATAGTAGCCTAACCAGGATGGGAGTTTTCCTCTTATATAAAAGAAGTTTGAAGGTAAAAAATTACAGGATTGGAGTGTTAGCTTGAAATCAGGGGTTTAGGCTCTAGCTCTTTTTCTTTCCACCATCCCAGCCGACGCCTTCCAACCTCAGCTTCAATTTGTGGTCCAGCGTGACACGGAGAGGCTGCTGAGAGCCTGTGTCCAGGCAGCTGCACAGAAGCAGGGGAGGATGATGGGAGTGTCTCCCTGCAGCAGCACCCTTCCACAAGGCTTTGTGAACCTCAAGCTGAAGAACAGGTAAGTACGTGTAAAATGTTTTTCTCCAAATAAAAAAATCAAAGATATAAGTATTTAAAGACTATCGTTCACAGTCCATAAATATCTTTCATTGACTCTGACCACTTTGGTCACTGACTTTAATGTTATTTTCTATAATGATTCTGTGCCAGACCTTATCCTAAAGTTATCAATTCATAAAGAGTTAGAGACATACTCAAACTATGATGCTTCCTAATTCAGCGCATGGTGGCTTCAGACATCCTGTTTTGTGGTCTTGCATTCAGAATCAAGTTACTGAGGACTTGTAATTTAGAGTGTTTATGTGACACATTGGTTCTTGAAAAGCGATATGCAAAGTGGACTTACAAAATAAGATCCTAGTTCCCCTTCATCCTCTAAAGAAAAAAAATGCGGCCTAAGTATAGGGGCCGCGCTGTAGCCTGCACCCTCTACATCTGCCAGGCCGTCTATACCACCTATCTTATTTCCTTCCCAGGAATGCTCACTATCACTCTTATTTCACATCTTACTTCCCTGTATCATATCTGTTTCTCTCTAGTAGAGAATGAGATCCTCAGAAACAAGATCATTATAATGTATTGGATGTTTCGTGCCCCTGCCTAGAATAGTGCTTAGTTCTCAAATACATGTGATGAATAAATAAACGACCTGGAAGATTTGTTTGTACACACATCATTATTTGTATATTACCCGTATTTAATATTAATGTACCAAATTGCCCACTGCTCTCAACCATTTGCCAGTCCTTGATCGGCAAAGCCTTGATAATAAGGCAATAAAAGCCAAGCACAGTGACCTAATTTTCGCTATATGTCAAAGTGCCCAATCACCATGTCAGCAGTGCAGGGAAGGCCTTCTTCTTCCTCTCCCCTTTCCCTTCCCCTTCTTCTCCTCTTTCTTATCCCTACTCTTTTCTTTCTCCTCCTTCTCCTCATTCTTCTCCTTCCTTTTCTCTTCTTCTTCCTCCTTCTAAGCCAGAACCAAAATCATATTCGTTAGCATAGGTAAATTCTAAGAGGAAAGCTAGAAATTAAAAATACATAAATTGAGCTAATGTGTTATGATTAATATAGAAAATGTTCTTCACACAGTGGAGAATTTCTTCACAGTTTGGGTGTTTGTGGGCTGACTCATAGATGCGATTGTGATGCGATGCTTGCTCAGCCCCTACACTGTCTGAAAACTCAAGATTAATTATACCTTCAGTTCTGTACCACATCTTTCACCAGAATGGAAACAAGTTTTTTAAGGGATACATCTGAATTATTTCAAGGGTACAGATTGTGGGCACCTGCATCAGTGGCTGGCTAGTAGCAGCCACTTCACCTCACAGGAACTGGGGGAACCTCATTTTATTGGTTTTACAGTGGAGTTGCTACTGCAATTTGTCGAAATGGTTATGTCTCAGTGGAGCACACGCTCCCAGCTGTACAGTCCAAGACTAGGGTCCTGGTCTTGTGCCGGATGTTAGGACACCATGGGTGCTACACCAGGATGCAGTTAGAATGATGCCCATACCAGCCTAAGATGCACCACAAAATGCCCCATATGCTAGGTAGGTACAAAGTTCATGGCTTGAGAATATAACAGAGGATGACTCCACTTGGTTCTTCCAAGTGCTGGTGGTAGAGTAACTACCCTAATGTCAAGGGCGCCAGTAAAGGTGCAATTCATCCAGAATGTGGTAGGGTCTGTAATCAGGTTAGGTGCAACAGGAATGTAAATGATCACTCTGAATAAAGATGAGTGATTTCTAACTTGAATAGCCTGCTTTCACTTACACAAAATGTGAGCCCTTTTGGATGACAGAAGGAAAAGAAAATAAAAGGAATGTAGATGTCAAATATCTTAATTTAGCCAGAATGTAAACAGCATGGTGTATACCACTGGCAATATTTAATTGTTGATTTAAAACTAAAATGAAATTTAAAACAGGCACAGCAGAGCTAGAACAAAAACAAAACCCATGAGAACAGAAAGGTTCAGTGGTATGGGCCATCTGCTGAGCTCCACACAAAATTTCCACAGTCACCACGGAGGTGTATGGAAAATTTCTGAATCTTCTGAATCACAATGGCCTCATCTACCATGAATGATGACAGGGCAGCCCCTGCTTCACCTGAAATGGGCAGTGCCATCTTCTCAGCCCGTCCCACACTGGGGCACACCCTCACCACTAAACCTTGTGCTGGGCAGGCCTTCCAGGGGATTCCGTCTTCCCACAGAGATTCCCCTTCCTTTTCCATTGGGCAAAAGTAAGCAGCGATGTGTTTTCCACACACTCTGAACCCTTCTTAATTGATGCATTAGAATTATTCATGTATATTATCTAGCCCACACCACAGAGCTAAAAAACAAGGAGCTGATCATCACTCAATTTCTTTTTAGTACCTTTCGCTGCCCCATTCAAGTAAAGCAGCAGGTGGTTTGCACAAAACACACCCTCAACAAGGCTGACTGGATGACACCATTCTGATCTCTTGCTTGCTCCATCCTATTCAGTGTCTGAAGTTATTTGGCCTGCTCACTGTGACATACAGAGGAAAAAGCAAGCTTTTGAAGGGTTCCTCAGCATTAGGGCAGAGACACTGCGGCCCTCATTCCTCAGTGGGCTGTGTTGCTGGCCTAGTCAGGAGAGAGATAGGTCTCTGCAGGTCAAGGAGACAGTGGAGAGAGAGCAACGCAACTGGTTTCTCTTCCTGAAGTCAAGAAAAATCCAGTTCTGGAGCTCCTCTATCGAAGTCAGTCACTTCTGGCAACCCCTGCCTCCTGCTCACAATGAAGGCCCTTCCAGTGCTCAGTGGGCCCTCACAGTGCCCCTTTCATCCTGAAGCTTGAAAGGCAGAGGCTCTTGTCCCAGATGCCAATGTGCTACCAGGTGAGAGTACTCCTTTGGCTCAGCAGTGCTCTTCCGCAGAGATCTGCCTCACCCTCAGTTCCTTGATCAGAGGGACAAGAGGCAGAGGCAGGGCCAAGCGAATCAGAGTCACACTTGCCTGACATCTGCCATCGCCACCGTGTCCATCCCTTCGCTGTGCTGTTTAAACCTGCCCTCTATCCTGCAAAGTGAGAGGTCAGTACCTACCCAGCAGGACTACTGCGCGAGATGGTGCAGGTAAAATTTTAAGTGCTTCATTTGGCAACAGTGAAAGGGCCCTGGGCCACAGAAAGAAAACGAGAGGAGTGGTTTGAAAGTCTGGTCTTGGAAGTCACCTAAATATCCATCGACAGATGGCTGGATAAAAAAAATGTGGTATTTACACACAACAGGGCACTACTCTGCCATAAAGAAGGATAAACTTGAGTCATCTATGGGAAAATGGATATAACTTGAGACCACAATGTTAAGTGAAATAAATCAGACACACATGGCATGGTTTCTCTTATATAAGAAACTAACTTAATGAGTAAAATAAAAGATAGATAATAGGAAATCAGGGAGACAGATCTCAAATGTTAAGGAGAACAAGTGATGGAGGGAAAGGTGATGGAAAGAGCAGTAAGATGTGTGATGCACAGGCACCCCCCCCGACGTAGTCATTATGTACTGCGAATATTGACTAATAAAAGTATAATGTTAAAAGAAAGGAAGCACCGACCCTCACTGGGGAGGAGGGACCTGGCTCCGCTGAAACAGAAACCCAGCTGCCCAAGCAGCCACTCTGTCCCCATCTGATGTGCCGGGGACGCTGACCATGGCTAAGTCATGCTTGGTCTTCTTAAAACTTAATTTTTATTTTTATCGGTACCTGCTCACAGTGCATGATGACCACCCTCTCCCAGGGCGCCAGTGCACATCACACCTTATCCTTACTGCCCGCCTTCCCTCCCCCGTCTCTGGGTTGGTTCCCTTCCTCTGACCTGAGACCTTTTTCCCCCGTCCCTTGTTCCCAGCCCGCGTCTCAGCGGGCGTTCTCAGAAGGGCCTTCCAGCCCAGCCCAGCGGCGGAGAGGGGCGGGGCCCACGTCACAGGGACTCCCGCCCCGTGCCTGTCCTCGCCGGTCCCGCCCCTCCCGTCCCGCAGCGCCTTATAAAACGCAGGTGCCTGGTGGAGAGGCGACCAGCGCAGCCTCCTCTCAGACAGGGCACCAGGGACTAGGGGACCAGGGACCAGGGACCCATGACACCCTCGTTGCTGCTATCGCTGCTCGTCCTCGGCTCAGGTGAGCGCCGCGAGACGGGAGGGAGGAGACGGGGAGGCGGATGGTGCACGGGTGTCCCAGGGCCTGGTGCTACCGGCTCGCGGATCCCGCACACTCGCAGGCACCTTCATGGGTGCAGATCCAGGGAGTCCTGAATTGCCCGGAGTGCCCTGCCTCTCCCTGAACCCTTTCCCGTCCTGTTCTGGGGACCATGTCACCACCTCAGAGGACACCCTAGGGCCCCAGCGAGGGGAGAACAGACTCCTTGATTCTGCCCTCTTAAGACTTAAAAATTAAAGCAGGGTCCTGAAACTCAGAGAGCAAAATCTTAGCTGGTGTTCAGTTTCTTCTATGGAGTCACAATAATAAGGAAAAAGGACAATGATTATCATTCTCATTGGCGACCTTTTACATGAATTTTTTCCTTTTATCTACATATCCCTTTAAATATTCGAGCGCAGGGTAAGGAAGTCTGATCCACCTGGCACCTCTTCATACAGCAGCCAGCATCCTCCCCAGAGCTGTGGTTAGCGGTGGGAAAGTGTTTGGACCAGGACACTGAACACTGCCAACTGAGTGAGCCCATTGGCTTAACTCCGCAGGGCCTTGCCTAGTAGAAATTAACATAAACCGTGGGAAGAAACCTGGGTCAGAGCAGCTCTGTACTTGGGGCAGCCGAGTTTCCTCCTGGCAAAGTGCGAAGTGGCTTTCCTAGGTGACTCAGCCATGAATGGTAGCAGTGAGCAGTGCCTGCCTGGATCAGGACAGGATCTGTTCTGCCTGTGGCTGTCTGGTGGGAGGCCCTGTTCATCTCCTGTTCTCCTTCTTCCCCTGCAGGACATTATGCTGCCGGGCTGGACCTCAATGACACAGACTCTGGGAAAGGTGGGCCTTTGTTGCCCGGGGGCCACAGTGATGGTGGCCTTGAGGTTATGACAAACAGTGAGATGCTCTCCCCTGCAAGTGCCACGCCTTCTTCCAGGGAACTGTCCTCAGGGGCGGAGGAGGACTACTCAGAAGAGGATGACACAGAGCCGGGAACATCGGGGTACATCGTGGGTGACTCTGTCAGAGGTGAGCAGAGACTAAGGGGACACAGAGCTGGGGGGGTCTGTAGGACTGAGGTGGGGCTTGGAAGAAAGTGGCTTCCAGAGCTTCTTGTGCATAAGCATCACACTTGCATAGATAAACTGAGTCAGAGGAACAGTGTGTGGACACATCCTGCATGCCCACAGCCTAACCAGTGCATTATGCTTGACTCAACCCTCCCGACTTTGTTCAGTAGGAACTGTTTTTCCCATTTGTCAGATGCAATAGCTGAAGCTATGAAAGGTTATCCTGGCCAACGTCACAGAGGGAGCAAGCAGTCGAGCCAGAATTAGAGCCTGAGCTGATCTCAGATGCAATAACTTTCCACGGTGCTCCATGCCCTCCCTCCTGAGAGACAGGGAGCTCAAGCATTGCTGTGTGTGCTGCGTCTTAGCTTTTGGGTCTCCTCTCCACACACCAGCACCGCCCTTCTGCAAATAACTGCATTCTAACACAAGGAGCCAGAAGGAAGGAGGAAAGGAGGAAGTACACTTTTTGTTTTTAAATACTAGGTGTTGAGAAAGTGGTGAGAACAACAGTAATGCCTGCTAGAAATAGTCAAGAAGAAAGGTGTGCATAAACTTTAAATTATTAAAATAGTGACTAAACCCAAATCTTACTTACTTAACTGTATTACTTACTATACTAATTACTATATTACTAAACCCAAACCTTATTTGTTAGTTGAAAAGTAGTGACTCGTGGCTCCCTTCACTTTTTTTGTTAGCTGATTTTTAAAAAAGACCCTTTGCTTAGAATGAAGTACATGTCAATGAAAGAGGTAAGATTGTTCATTACACCCTCACAACATTCTGGAGCTTAAAGGAAGCAGAGGCCATGGTGAATCAGAGCTAAATATGCCAGGAGCATCTGTCCTAGAGGCAGAACAAGATGGTCTCAGAGCATCTGACTCCTCCTCTGTCGGGCTCCTGATAGAAGGGGGAGTGGGCACTGCAGCAGCAGTGGCTGGGGTTGGCGGCAGATTGGAAAGTTTTCATGAATACACCCCCTTGCTTCTGAGCTAGACTCTGTGTGGAGAGGGATCACTCACAATTCCTGTATGCAGAGGGATGACATTAGACCATCACAGTGTACAGCAACTGGTCTCCTAAAGATGGTTTAAGCTGTTAACATTTCAGAAGATCAGATACATTGCTAGTAGGGTGAATGACTGCTGATCCAAACTGTGACACGTCATAAAGTAGCCTGAGACCGTTGGTTGAACTCCTTTGAAAGGCTGTTCATTTAAATGTCCATGGATGTAATGTCTGTTGCGACACCTCAGCATGATGACTAGTGTTTGACTCTGTGACTTGTAATCTATCTGATAAAGTACAGTTGCATTCATTTAAAATGTTTCTTTTAGAGGATTTATGCTAGCTTTTTTCAATCAGAGAAAAGTCTCAGTATAAAATTTGCATCGCCACCTACTAAAATTACTACTAATTTGACTTTATTATATTATAATAATCTGCTAAAAGATTTGTCATTTCCTTAGTCATGGGGGTTCTATCTTTGATGACCTTGCTAATCTTCACTGAATTTCTGATGTTTTCTATTTAATGGTTCTGGGTGACCTTATGACTAACAGTATTTTCTCTTTTTGCCGGGCTCTGTTTGCTAAATGCTGGATCATATAAACCTATTAAGAGATTAGTGTAACAGAATGTACAGCACCAGATGGAAACCTCCCCTCTTCATGTTTAGTATGGGAGTAACCCACACCTTGCATAACCAGAGGGCTGAACAACATTTCTGGAGACTTGATAATTTAAGAGAAATTTCTGGGGCATCAAATACAAAACCACTAGGCTATTTTCAAATAGACCCAGAAATGAGCCCCCTGTCAAGTTTCAATTAGTTATAATCTGAGAGCTGGAAAATTGATTAAATATATAATTGTCATTTTTCCATCCTCCCTCAAGTAGTGTCCATCAATTCCCAATGGGACAATGACCAAAAGGCCAGTACAGTGCACAAAAGCAACGCCCCCCCCACCCATGGCCACTGTGATCATTGGCATTGAGACTTTCAAGTGCAAACAGCAGAACAAGAAAATCACAAACTCTGACATTCAGGCACTCATTTTCCACTGCGTGGAAAGTTACTATGGCAAGTTACCTTTACTGAATTTCAGTTCCTTCTTTTTCATCATGTAGATAACAGTATATACGACCATGACCATTACTAGGAACTTGGGAGGTACTACTAGAAATTCAAGAAACTATTTAAAGTGTTTAATGAACTTTTCTCACAGGTAACTCCTATTAGCAATACTGATGATGATACTTATACAAATCAATTTAAAGTATGTGAATAAGAAGTGAAAGAACTAAGGTGTCCAAGTTTTTAAGTGCTGCACATCACAACTATTCTCTGCCCATTTAGTGATGTGCATTCTATGAACAGTGAACTCACCCTCTCCTGCTTTGAGTTCCTTGTCTCGTGTCTCCCCAGTCCTATTCCAGGTGACAGTAACAGTTGTCAAGAATTCTTGTTTTTATTTTTCAGTTGAACAGGTAGTGAAACCCAAGAAAAACAAGACAGAAGGTGAAAAGACTTCAGATAAACCCAAAAGAAAGAAAAAGGGAAGCAAAAATGGAAAAAGTAGAAGAAACAAGAAAAAGAAAAATCCTTGTGTTGCAGAGTTTCAAAACTTCTGCATTCATGGAGAATGCAAATACCTAGAGAACATGGATAGGGTAACCTGCCAGTAAGTTCTTGTAATTCTGTGCAATTCTATATCTCTCATATCACATCTGAAAACCTGCACTTCAGAAAATCATTGGTTTTTTACAGTGTATAAATCAAGGGTCAACAAATGTCTCATTCAAGGGTCAGGTGGACATTTAGGCTTTGTAGACCAAGGTCATGTATGTACTTATGGAATAAATTAAAATGCAGTCATTTTAATTAACAAAAGACTTGCCAGGCGTGGTGGCACACACCAGTACTTGGGAGGCTCCCAAGCACTCTCAGCACTTGGGAGGCTGAGGCAAGAGGATCGCTGTGAGTTCGAGACCAGCCTGGCCTACATAGTGAGTTCCAGGTCAGTCTCAACTACATAGTGAGACTCTGTCTCAAACAAACAAACAAACAAACAAACAAAATGCGAAAACTATTTCTAGCTTGCAGGTTGTAAACTAAAATAAAAAGGGCAATTGGCCAGATTTTATGTGTGGCTGTAGTATTCTGACTCTTTTCCCCTGTATAAACTGCCATTTTACAAAATATGTATTTTGAAAACATCCTTTTAAAATACTTTTTGCATAATCTTTCATGTTGTTCTACCTCCACCAAAGCATCAGCACGTGAGATGACAGGCAATGTATTAACTGCGTAACAAGGCATTAGAGGTAGCAATTGGCCACTAAAACTTGGTAGAGTGTGACTTCTTGGATTATCACACCCAGGTCAAAGCTAACAGATCTTTAGGTAGAACATAACACATGTATTCATGATTTTGGAATACAAATATCTAGCATTACTGTTTTTAATGTTGGAATTAAATGGCTTTTTTTGACCTAGAAAGTAAACTTGAAATGCACAAAATGTATTTGGTGATCTTATTATTTATTTATTTTGGTACCGGGAATCGAACTTGGGTCCTTGCATTTGTGAGGCAGGTGACAGAACCACTGAGCTAAACCCCTGGCCCTGGTGATTTTAATTTTAAAACATGGGTTGTTGCAGATGTGACCAGGATTACTTTGGAGAACGGTGTGGGGAAAAATCCATGAAGACTCACAGGATTGCTGGTCATGACTTGTCAAAAATCGCGTTGGTGGCCATCGCTGCTTTCGTCTCTGCTGTGAGCCTTACAGCCGTCGCAGTGGTGATCACAGTCCAGTAAGTGTGGTTGACCTAAACTCCCCAAGGAAGGAACATGGGGCAGTATTTCCCAGTACTTCTATCATAATTCACTATTGCATCTTACTAGAATCCTTCTTTTGGTGGCACATGATACTGAATCTGAATTTGGTCAAAATTTATTTTACTTTGGCCACCACTAAAGCTTTATAATATAAAGTGTTTTCATAACTAGAAATTTTTTGAACATAAAAATTGGTAGTATCATTTTATTCCTTTTTTCTACGTATGCTTTTCCCCCAAGTCTCAGAAAGTGCTGCTATCGATCTTTGAATATTTTAAGCTTTAGCAAGCTTCCTAGAAAATAAGGGCTAATTCACAACAGGTTCACAGCATCAAGCACAGAGCATCAAGCAAGAGAATTTCAAATTAGCAGCCATTACAAGATTGTCTCTGCTCATATTACAAGGCCAAATTCTGACTTAGTAACTTCATATCATAGTGCTTTATAGCATAGCTTGGGCCTATTTTGTTATGATCCAATAAGTAATATGGGAACCTATTAAAAAGAAAAACCAAACATTTGCTCTGCATGGCATGCTGTTGGAAGCCAGGACAATTCTGTGACTGTTGCACCTTGGCAGTTTCTGCCTGTGCTGGGAACAGCATACCACTTACCCACCTTCTGCCCAGTGACTGCGGGCACTGGGCCATGCTAGGCAGATGGCAGGATCCATGCCTCAGGATGGTATTGTCCACTGTGTACAGGGAGCTGGGGGAGGCATAGTGGCTCCCAGATGACTCATGTGCCAGCCCTCGGAGCTTGGGAAAAGCAGTGGACTGTTGTTCTAATTTTAGGTCTCAGTAAATTACTTTAACAACTGGATTGTGTATGATCTATGACTACTGACTTCAGGAAAGAAGGGGTTATCTTCTAACACTGTTTACTGCTATCTTAAATTCACATCAGATAGTGATAAAATGACACATAAAACTGTTTTATCGTGTACATAAAATTTGATGTGCAGCTTGAATTTGCTTTGCACACCCTAGAATTTGCTCTGGTTTTCTACTCCTAAGCCAGATAATGCAAATGTGTTTAGGAAAGATACTCAGAGAAAAACTATTATTATTTGACAGAAGGGTAGAAGAAAAAATTGCGAGTTAAGGATGATGCTTTGGAATAATTAAACTTCTAATTATTCAGCCTGCAATATTTAGTAATCTTTTGGAAAAACATGGCAAGACTATCCTGTTGGCACTCTTCAAATGAAGCCAAGAGCTTTATCCTTTCCTCCCACGTTTTCCTCACATACAAAACAAAAAACTAAGTCGAAGCCACAGTTGTCATTTTATAACTACAGAAATTTTTCCTTAAACAGTCAAGAAAAGTTTGTACAATTGTCATAACAGTGTTTAGTAGTTTGACTAAGGGCCTCCTAATTAAAAAATTGCTTATACAACACCAAGACATTTTTAAACAACTTAGTTTTTAAAGAAAGTAACAACAAATAAAATGAGAAGGAAATATTTATATTTACAGATAAATCTAAGCTGTTTTATAAGCCACTTAAAAATTCTAATCATTTAAATTAATTGGTGTCATACTGTGCCATTGTCTGTTCCTCCTGTGCTCAAGATGTGTGTATGTTCTGTGCCTTCTCAAACCGTGCATCTTGGGGACACAATTCGTCTCATTCCTCTGGAAGTATGTTTATTTAAAGGCAATGTTAGTAAACTTCAGAGCTGAGTTCAGGCTTGGGTTGAATGTGGGTATAGTGCTTGGCTATAAGAACACAGTGGAAGGAAATTCTGGTACTTGTGGACGCGCCCATCAACATACAAACGAAAAGAGCTGAGATAACTCTAGGATGTGTTGCTCTCCCCAGGCTTCGGAAGCGGTACTTCAGGGATTATGAAGGAGAAGAAGAACGAAAGAAGCTGAGACAAGAAAATGGCAACACACATGGCATGGCATAACTGAGGATGATACAGGTTTGATCTTTCAAAAGATGTCTTTAGTTTCTGTCCCATAACATCCAAACTATAACATGGCTATCTTAAGAAGAAGAGGAATATCTCTTTTTTTTTTTTGAGACAGGGTCTTATTATGTAGTTGAGACTGACCTGGAACTCACTATGTAGGCTAGGCTGGTCTCGAACTCACAGTGATCCTCCTGCTTCAGCCTCCCCAGTGCTGGGATTACAGGTGTGCGCCACCACACCCAGCTTCGGTCTGTGTATTAATTGACTATGTTGGTGAGACATAGTTCTTGTTCTCCAAGAACTAATGTTTAGTGGAGAGGAATGGAAAGGGAAAGTACAGTGAGTGTCACCCCATGGAAACTGGCCTGATTCAGATGTGTGTTGGGGAGAGAAGTGTGCAGGGCCAGGTTGAGCTCACACCCTGCCAGCCAAGGTCAGGGTGCTGGCACCCCAGGTGATAGGGGGAGACAGTAGGCTGGACGGTCCTTCAGAGAGTAGTAAGGAGTACAGACTTGAGAACAATTTGGTAAGGATATATAATTTCATTTTTGTAAAGGCAGAGAGCTCTGGAGTTGGAAGTGTAACTCAGTGGTGTAACTAGCATGAACAAGGCCCTGGGTTCAATTCCCAGCACTAAATAAATAAGTGAATAAATAAGGGAGAGCCGAACACATTTTAGACAGAAGGCAAGAAGCTGCGAAGAAGGATATTTTGTTGATGAATGTCAGGAGTTAATGACCATCACTTCCAGAGGGAGAAAGCAGAAAGGAAATCAAGATACACTTTGATTTGATATTTCCTCAGATATTCGGGGAAAATGATTCCACACTCTTAAGCCACTGATGTTCCTGGCATTAGTGGGTGAAGAGTTACTTGAGGTGCTTATTAGATATGCATATTCCCATATCCAACCCAAAGTCTACTGGATGAAAATTTCTTTTAATGAGGGCTCCTGATGGTTCTAGTGCTTGGGGAACCATAACAGTCAGCACTGGTTATGTGTTGTGTTACATTCTGGGCCTGTTATAACTCAGGATATAGGTCTTTGTTCCTACGGATGCCACACTCAGGATTTATTACATCAATTGTTTTTTACTGTATTGGCTTAACTTGCAAAAGTTAAGACCACCGATTTAAATAAAGGCGGATTTTTTGTTGTTGTTGCTATTTAATGCCCTTGTGGGATATGCTGCGCTGGCATATGGTGGCTGCCTATTATCTGGAAGCAGCTATTATTATGCCTTGGTACTAATTATACTAAATTACCCATATATCATAAAACACTAAGCCACCTAGTCTTTGTTTTCAATTATGTCTACTCTGTAGATTTGGTTAGGAAAGTGACTTTTTTATCACTGTTGTTCCTTATTTTTTAAAGCAGAGTTTTACACAATGGTTGTGAGAATTTGTAGTTTTCTACCTAAATAGGCAAATAACCTAAGGAGAAATGAAAGAGGAATTCAAGCCATAGTCACAGCTGGTCTCTGAAAAGCTCTTCTCATTTTTCAAAAGAAATGCTAGAAAAACTGACAGAAATTCTGATTCCTGGAAATTTTTTTGACACTGCGTTGGCATTGACCTCATTTCTAACCCTCTGTTCTCACAGGACATCAGGTTGGAGTCGTTGCCCCATCTCAGAGTAAATGATGAGCTGGTCTCCTTTCATGAAGAAAAGGGAAACTTCTGGTGGTTTTGTCACTTTTTATGCTAAGTCTTATGTCTGTACATAAACAGATGCGCGGAGATAAAAAGTATTTTTTCAAGTTGTAAATAATTTATTTAATATTTAATAGAAGTGTATTTATTTTACCACTCATTAAACTTTTTTAATGAAACAGATTGAGTTTGAATATTAGTTTTGAGACTACAGTATTCCAAGGTATTTATTTTTCTCCTGATACTGAGCTGCTGATCCTTTATAAAAGGATTTCCCCTCTCTCTCTCTCTCTCTCTCTCTCTCTCTCTCTCTCCTCTTCTATTTTTATGTTGATTTTTAAAACATTCCCTTTCTTAAGGAACTTTTTCTTTTTGGGGGGTGGGGGGGCATGGGTTAGCGGGAATTGAACTATGGACCTTGTGCTTGTGAAGCAGGTGGCAGCACCACTGAGCTAAATCCCCACCCCATGAGCTTTTTCTTAATGAGAAAATATAGGCACTTTTTCTCCCTGCAAACACTAAGAATTTTTATGAGAACACCTCCCAGCTGGCCTTTTTTATTCCATGCAGAGCCCGTGCCATGCCCTGCGAATTGAGGAATGGCGTATGGCACTGTCTCTGTTACAGCCGGCCCAGGTGTCAGAAAAGAGCTCGAAGCCACTGCTCACACAATGACATGAATGCTCCATGCGCAGAGATGAGAGTGGCTTGAACACTATGAAAGGGACATTCTTAGAGAACCACAAAGTGTTTTCGTTGAGACTGCTTTTCCTCCTATCAGGACATAAGTGTGTGAGGCATCTAACACCTACTCCTTCCCTCTGCTTCCTATTCTTCTCTCCCAGTATTTTAAACAAATGTGGGCGCTTACTTGGGGGAACCCTTTCCAAGGACAATAGGGCTATGAGGTGACCCACAGTCTGGTGCCCTGCTAATCAAAGCTACACAAATGTAAAACAAAACAGCCTTTATAATCTGTGGGGGATGTTTTGAGGACGCTACCAAGCATAATGTCAGCATCCTCTCACAGACTCTCACAGATAAGAAGCATCAGCCCCTCTCCTGTCCCTGCCATACCTAACTCACTGGGTTCTTTTCCATGCCTGGGAGAACCAATCCAGGTACTTCCCAGCCTGGCTGCACAGTGTCACTCAATGAGTTCTAAATGTCTAAGCGTCCATGTCCGCACCTCCCTCCCAGGCCCTGACTTGAGCAAGCTGAAGTGAGCCGTGGGCTCTGATATCTTTGAAAGCACCTTACATCTTTCCTGTCTACAGCCAGTGTGGAGAACCTGTGGTTCACCTCTGCTGTGACATCTTCTGTACTGTTGGTCTCATCCTCACTCACTGAGTGCAGTGCTAGGGACACCAGGAGGGAAGAGCCATACTTGGAGACCCCACCTAGTCTTCAAGAAGTGTGTCCCACCATCATCTGTGTGAGCCACCCGCTGAGGTGACCACCTGGGATCCTTGGGGCCTGAAAGAAAGGGAGGCTACCTTTGAGGGGTGAGCAGAAGTGATAGAGAGATCGTTGTAGGCGTGAGCAGAATTAGGAGGTCACCAAACCATATAACCTGAAAGGGAAAACACAGAAACTAGTTCAGTGCTGCTTAAGTAAAGTGTGATGTCAGCAGAGGCTTTAAGGAAGCTGGGTGCTGAAGGTGGCCACGAGAAGTCTTTTGAGTGACCCTTAAGGACAGATGAACAATTCCAGCCAGTTCATAGGGAGAAAACTTAAGCAGATTTGAGTTCCAGATAGATCTCTGGGCCACCTTGTTGGGAAAGGAAGTGAGTCAAGGCTAAAAGACAGATGACTGGCTTGGAAGCAGCAAACTATTCCAGGAGAAAGATGAACACCTGGTGCTGGAAAGAGAGACTGGAGGCAGTGCTCAAGTCAGAGATTGAAACACAAAATCAAGACGACTTACTAGAAAAACAAGGCTGAGGGTAATGTGACAGTGAGGAACGTGAGGGAGCCACTCTAGGATGACCTCAGGGCTCTGGCCTCATTAGCCAGGTGGCTGGAGATCACAGGACACAGAGAACAGCATTTCTGGGAACGGCTCGAATGTTGGAAGAGGGAAGCGTGGCTTTTCGTTTATTCTTGATTCAAGAATGGTCCTTCTTTGGAAAGTTATTTTCTCTCATTTGCAACAGATTTATGAGAAAAAAGTACCAGCCTGGCCTTGAGCCGGCTGAACCAGCCTTAGCCCTCTTCTGCCTCTGACACTGATCATGTGAGGAGAAGACAAGGACTGTAAGTTTGGTGATGGAATCTGCTTCAAGTCTGTTGAGTTCCAAGTGCTGGGAGCAATCAATAAGCAGTTGGATATGTCAGCCTGAAATTCAGGGAGGGGGAGAATTGTAGATTGATAATTGCTGGAATGTATTTGGTAATTGAAGCTATGACGTCCTCCAAGATTCGCAAAGGAGGCTGTCATGAGTTGGAAGGAAATCTTCACAGGGCTCAGCAAACCTGGAGGCTTCCATAGACATGGTGAGGGTTGAGAGCTCTAAGCTGCCATCCCATGGACTTTTCTAGCCTCTAAAACAAAATTTATGAAGTCATCATAGTGGAACTCAGGGGAAAATAAACTTCCTTCATGATTATAATGAATAATAAAGATGTCATATTATTGGCTTTTGAAAGCTTGGTAAGTGAGGCTCAGAGAGATGAAGTAAATTGGCCATGATAACACGAGTCATAAATGAGTGTGAGATTCTGTACTGCTGGTCCACTGAAACCACTGTAAAGATGTTTCGTTTGGGTCTGGAGAATTCTATCTACAACCAATCTAGCATAATTTTAATTGCCACTCATATAGAAGATATTTAAGTAGTTAATTTCAGACCCAACTAAGATGAAACTTTCTTCATCTACCCATACCACCTTCCTGAAATTTCCCAATCCATCCCCTTTCATCATCTCTCAAAGTAAGCCCGATCTTTTATTTATTGCGTACACATGGAATGATACAGATGGTGATGTATCAGCTAAATAAATCTTGAGGATACACAATTAAGCTAGGTGCTGCTCTTTAGCCAAAATAATGACTCCATTTTCTGAAAAGGTTGCTGTCCAATTAATTAGATAGCATCTGCCTATGTGTGCGTTGCTCCAGAGAGGCAAATTCTGAAGTACTGGTTGGATTAGGTTGCATTCGTTCTTGAAGGAAAATACCACTAATTCTAGGATTTAGTAAATAAAATATCTGTTGTTTTATTCATCGCTTCAAAAGCTAAGTTTAGATTCCATCCCAGATTGCCACCTGGCAAGTCTTAAGGAAGGAAAGTTTCCAGTAGCACTTGGTGTCCCTTTCCTAGGTGTCTCCAGACTAGGACACCGTTGGAGACAAGAATGAGCAGTTAAGCCAGGTGATCCGGGTCCTAGCATTCATCTCCTTGGGTGCTCATGTCACAGAGCAGCCACGTTTTCCTATGAACATTCCTCATTTCTCCTATTCAGCCCAAGCTTTGGTATTTGTTCTATATGTGGAAAATCTACTCTGTGAGTTCACAGTCATAAGATGTTGTGCAGCTTATTTCAGACTGATGAAGTCTTTCTCCTGGAGACTTCATTCTCCAACTTGTCTGGAGGTAGATAAACTCCTCATGTGTTATAATTTCCTAGTGCTTACGATATTTCAAATAAAAGCTTATTTAGATAACTAATATCTTCTTCCCCTATTAGCCTGTAAACTTCCAAGGGCATGGACTGAGTCTTTTTCAATGCTCAGTATATGTATTTATTGAAGAATGTGTGGTCAAAGGTCATCCAATATCATTACCTCTTATAACTGTCATCATAGCAGAATGAACTTTGCCATGGGAGAGAATTGTATGGGCTTCAATTATGCTATAATGTCTTTACCCAGTAGCAAAAAACAAACAAACAAACAAAAAACAAAAACAAAACAAACAAACAAACCCTTTTATATGTTATGGATTGACAATAGTAACTTCCCAAGGGACCTAATCCTCATTTACTTGAGAGTATATAAAAATTATGCACAACTTTCAGTTTTCATGGGCTGACATTGGCTGTTCCATTCAAAGGAAGTGTCTTATACCTAAAATTGCCTTTGTTACTAGATCTTTCCTTTTCCCCCTCCATTTGTACAACCAGTATATTTCATTAACTGCATGAAGAACATTGTGTGAAGTGACTTGGAACGTGAAGATGAAGCAGGTTAGGTCTGCATCCTCAGAACTATAACCTGTGAACAGCGAAGGAGGAAACTAATCATCCCAGATTTCTCAGTGCTAAAGCACTCATCACCTCCCTGCCGAGTGGGTACTCCGTGACTCACCATCAGAAAGTGTGCAGTTGTTCTATGAAATAGACTTTTAAATTTTCTATTTTAACAATAACGGCATCATACTTCCTAAAATTGATAAAAAGCAGTCTTCAAGAACATATGGGAAAATTTAAACTTAGTGGCAAATCAGCAGATGCTTTTCCTTCAAGATTAAAGCAAAGATTCCTGTTGTCACTACTATAGTTCAGCATAAAACAAATCTCTGACAAAGCTTTTAGAAAAGAAATGTAAGTGGTGTAAAATTTTATAGGAAAGAAATAAGTGTACCCTTCCTTGTTTTTAGACAGTATAATCTACCTAGAAGGAGAGTTGAATTGATCTTCTAACTACTAGAATTTATTAGAAAGTGTCATGACATATCCAGATATTATGTGTAATACCAAAATTAATAGGTTTTGTGTGACAAATTAGCCCAATACAAAAGAAATAAAAGACTCTTCAAGGGCTGGGGATTTAGCTCATTTGTGTCTCCACCTGCCTCCCAAGCATAAAGTTCCAAGTTTGAGCAAACTACAAGGTAAGTGTGTATTAACACTATGGGTATTTTAGACATCTATTAAAAGAAAGCAAGCAAATATAGCATGGAGAAATATTCCTCTGTTGTAGACTTTAAGTTGTAAAGGGGTTAATTTTCTCCTCAAACAATCTTTAAATTTAACACAATAACTTCAAAACTGTCCTCAAAATTTTGGAGGGGAAACAGTGGTACCTCAAATGCTGTCATTTTTGATGAAGAAAGCAAAAATAATTTAAATTTATTAGATCTT